AAAAAATAATAATAATAACTTTTAGAATATAAATAAATAATTTTATATTTAATTATTATTATTATTATTATTATTTTCTTATAAAGCCTTAATGGTGAAAAATGTAAGGTGATCAATCGAAGAAATATATACATAAATATACAGCTGATTAAAGAGATAAAAAAAAAAAAAAATTATTAAGCGGGAAGGTGGCAGGGTTTTAAAACAACTACAACTTTACTTTCTTTTTTATTATTATTATTATTATTATTATAAATAAATAAATTTATTTAAATTTTTATAATAATTTGTTGAAATACTAATAAATAAATAATTTTTAATGGAAAAAAAAAATTATTAAATAACTTTGTTATTTATTCATTTTAATGGAAACAAACAAACAAGCAAAAAATTAAAATAAATTAAATTTTATTCCTGACTTTTATAATTATTATTATTATTATTATTATGATTGATAAAAATAAATAATGTTATTAAAAAAAAAAATTTTTTTCTTGCCCCCCGAGATTTGATTTTACTTATTATTATTATTATTAAATGTTACTTTTTTGTGCAAGTAACGGAGTTTATACATTTAATAATAATTAATTTGTTTTATTTTAAATTCTGCGATTTCTTATTAATAATAATAATAATAATATTTTTTATGTGTTCTCATCGTTATAATCAAAAATTTTTTTTTTATATAAAATAAAATAATTTTGTAAATACGTGTCTGTAATAAATTATAAAAAGGGGAAAAATATATACATTTATGCTTTACAATTAATAATAATAATAATTGTAAAGTATTTAAATTTTTTCCCCCCGCAGATAAAATAATAATAATAATAATGATAATCTCTTTGACAGCTTTCGTTTTACTTATTTATTAATTTTTAAATAAATAAATAATAATAATAAATTTATTTTATAATGCGATTGTAATGGATAAAAATTTATTACTGTAAAACAAATTTGAATAATTTAAAAATAATAATAATAATAATTGTAGAAAAATCACTTAATTAATTAATTTTTAAAAATTAAATTTTTTTATTTTATTTTTATTTTTTTTTATTTTTTATTTTGTATGGATATTATTATAATTTAAAACTTATTGTAAAAAAACAAAAAAACAAAAAAAAATGGATGTATATATTTATACATATATTATATATATATTGTTGATTTATGAAATGCTTTGATCAAAACCTATACAAATAGAGGATTGTTTTAATATAAATTAATTTTTTTCTTTTTTTTAGAAATACTTTTCCTATTTTTTTATATAAATAAATAAATTGGAAAAGTCATAACGTGTCTGTCGAACAAACAAATAATGATAATAATTTAAAAAATTTCCTTTTTTCTTTTGTAAATATTTAATAATTATTGTAAAAAGAAAAATCAGAGGTTAAAAAAGAAATGCTAATATTAATAATAATAATAATAAATTTCCTTTTAATAAATTTTATCGTTTGTTTAATGAACTTTTGTATTTTTAAATACATTCAACAACAACAACAACAAAAAAATGGTTGATTTGTTTGTTAAAATACATTAATAGTAAAAGTACGTGCACTTTTAAATTTTTTAAATTTTTTTTTTTATTTTTAAATAAACGTCACAAAAGTTTATTTGTTTTAAATACGTTAACGATATGATTTTATGATAAGATTTTTATTTTAAAATTAACCATTTTTTTTTATTTAAAAATAACT